CCCGAGCCGGGGAGCTCCGGCGGGCTGCTGAGTCACGCGAACTAAAAGTAACAGAATCGGGCGAAAAGTGACGCCGTGAACTAATCACAGGGCAGTCGATGTTTTTTTTCAAGCCGAGATCCGCTATTCGAAGCAGACAGTGCAGTTTGATGACATGATGATGTCACCGTTCATAGCCCTTCGAAGGGGAACTTATTGCGACAGCTAACTTCATGAGAAAAAAAAAAATTCGCTGCGCTTCAAGAGTCCTGCCCTTGCTTGACACTGTGTGACAAGGGAATTGAATGGGACATTCTCTAGTGTATTATAAATTTATATATACATATATATCTCTTGTTGGCTCCTCTGATCAAGTGCTCTGTCTCGTAATCGTCAAATAAAGAGTATTTTTGTATATTTATTTATCTCAATGTTTTTAGAAATACTTTTCTCCAATTTTACTAGGCCTACATTGAGAAGAATGAGAGGAAATCCATTATCTAGGACCTATTTTTTAAGAATTGAATAATAAAATCACACTTCATTCGAATGACTCTGCCATGCTTCAAATAGCTGTGAATAGTGCAAAAATCATGAATGTTGAATAGCTAAGTTGAATGGGCTCAGCTCTAGGAAATAAGGTTTCAACTGACTAGGCTAAGCCTCAGTTAAAATTGCGTGACATGATCTCTTAGTCTTACTCAACTCTAATCTCTCTCTGACTTTGCCAAAGTTGCTGAGAGAGGTATATTAAGTTAAATGTCTCTTACACCTAAGTTACTACTGTCTAGATCAATGTGTGTGTATAAAACTGGAGAGACAGGAAGTGGGATTGACATTGAACAGAAAGAGTCTAAAGGGAGGGAGGGAGTGACAGAATGACTGTTAGAATTACACAACTTAAGTGCTAGATTTAATAAAATTATTATTTAATTTATAGGATTTCACAATATTGTGCGTTATAACGCATTTCCTTTAGCCACTAGGAAGAAAGTTATATCTCTTGGAAGACTATAGTCCTAAAGTGCATTTCCTATGGAAAGTGTTCAAGATTTGAGAGTCCCATGCTTGCCAGTCAGCAAATTTCACGTCATAAAAGTTTGTTCTCACCTTCTGTCAGTAACTGTAATTTGAGCTGATTGCTTCCTCTCTTCGTCATTGTCAGCGTGCTTGATCTGCCAAACAGTCACACAAAACAGACAAAAAAGTCTATAAAGAAGTGAAAAAGAAAACGGAATTCCAGTGATGTCATGAAACATACTATTATAACTTACTATAACATTAAAAAATAAACCAAATATATTAATATATATATGTGCCTCTATAATTATAATGTGATAACTGAATGCCATTTTAACCCCCCTATTTGTTCTCAATCGTTGATCCCGACAGGTTTCTCAATTTTATAAAGACCATTGGTCTTTGCTCCAAAATATATTATGGTGTTTAGGTTATTTTAGCAATTGGTGCTTTTAAAATAGAATTTTAACTATATATAGATCGATGTATTTTAGATAAAACCAAAAGGTGCCATGAACTAATGTGAAAACAACCAACTTGTGTCCAGCGCGCTCATGTGAACTTTTCTGCAGTTGCAATCAGCATAAATACTTTGTGCCCTTGTGCATGGATGTTGCATTATTCTAATGCCATTGTAAGCTGCTCAAACTATGTCTTGCATTGTGAGGATTTAAAATGGAAATTATGTGCTAAATAAAAACCAATGTGTTATTACGTATATATTTATATATATATATAATATAAAGTTCAGTAGTTTACAATTTCTTTCATGTATCATTGTGTATGGTGCACAACTTTCAATGAAAAATAAACTTGAACTCTGTTACAGAACAGAAGCATCAAGATGTCACAAGATGAAGAGGAAGTTGATGAATTTGAGTTGCAACTGAAACAAGAGGAGTTGGAAAGGTTAGCCAAAGAAGAAGGGTCAACTCTGCCCAAAGGAACAACTTATACTGACGATGATGGCACTGTCATGGAATGGGATCATGAAAGAAAGGCTTACTTTCCAAAGGTAAAGTAAAGGTCATTTGACATAGTACCTGGAATACCTGGAGGTGTCATCTCTGGCTTAGAATTGTATGTAATGACCCACTATTGTGACTATTGCTTACATTCAATAGCTGCTCCCGTGCGTTTTGACATAGTAGGTTACTTTTATATAGGACAACGTCACAAGTACTTGTGAGATTTGGAGCCAAAGATTTCTAAATAACAGAGCTAGAGATGTTCTGTGCTGCTTTTCAGTCCTTCTACTTCAGGCATATATATACTGGAAAATTGAATGTAATTTTTTTTCATCATTAGTAGTGGTATAGTCTCAGTAGTAGTATTATAGTCTCAGTAGTAGTTGTATAGTCTGAATTTTCACCCGATAGACCCAAGCTCAGTCCTGAGTGTGACCTCCTTAACCTTTTGGTGCACTAAACACACAACTGAGGAAACACTGATGTTGGCAGTCAACACACAGGTAGTCTTGTGCTGAAGTCTTGAGGCTCTGAATCAGTGTACCTGAGGTCCTTTGGATTGACCACTGCATGATGTAGTACTGAATCCTCCACTTGATGTGTCAGGCCTGTACACAACCTGCGTCTGTGGTGCTGGGGCGATGGGGCGTAAAACTTTTACAATCATTACAATAAAGGCGTGTGTTGAGTGCACGATAAGTGTGTGTGAGGGGGGGGGGGAGTGCTGAGCTAGCAGCTGTCTCTCTCTACTATAGTAAATGTACTGGAAGGGAAGCAGAAAATGAAAAACAGGTTAGAAATGACACGAACTAGAAATACAGTAGAGGGACATAAGCTCTCTACAATATTACCAAAGTAATCTATTTTAAACTACCTAGTTACTGACTTCACATATATATATATATAGATTGCTCTACACAAACGATCCTTTAATGTATCATAATGTTATTATGAGCGCAATGTTTTTGTGTAAGCAACTGATAAACTCATGTATTTACAATTTTCATGTTTTTCAGATTGATGCAGATTTCATAGCACAGTATCAAATCAATTATGGTGCAAGTAGTGATCAGAATCAAGATGGTTGGGAACGACTCACTGAAGAGGAAAAACAGGCCAGGTATGATGAATATTGGAACAGCTATTACCAAGCTTACTCCAAAGAGCAACCCGCTCTTCCAAAGATAGATGTTGAAGGTAACGAGATCGAGGAGGGGGAAGAGGAGGAAAAGTCGGAGAAAAAGCAGAAAAGTAAAAAGGATAAGTCGGGAGAGAATTCCGCTGGTGTAGAAACGGATGTCACAGCCTCGACTGATGAAGTCGTTTCGGACCCAACTTCTGAGGAGCACTACCAGTACAACTTGTACTACTTTGGGCAGGAATACGCCGACGCCTACAGGGACTATTACACAGATCACCCAGATGAAGCTGCGATGCCAGACTGGATCGCTCAAAGATCGAGTGAAAGGGGAGAGGGCAGTGTGTCGGAAAACAAAGACAAGAAGAAAGGAAAGCAGAAACCAGAAAAGGGGGAGAAGAGGAAGGAGCCTCCTAGAGAAGAAGGTATGAGTATCTGTGTTCATTTTTCCTACCAATTTTCCCATTGGGACCATTTTGTAAACCCCCAACCACCAACTTGTGTCCAGCGCGCTCATGTGAACTTT